AAATGAGCATAGTCGGGGAGGGGCAGTCATTTCCATAACTGCTGCATTTTGGATTAAAGCTCTGAGAATACCTTTTCACAAATGATTCTATGACCATGTATTTTGAAACATAGTAATGGATCAAATAAACATTAAGGTTGCATCTATAAGGCAAAAATGACCTATTTAGAAAAAGAAATACATGCACACACAAAAACTTCAAGTTAATTCTCGAAAAGAAAATAGTAAACTAATAATGTAAAAAAGATAATGTAAAAGTAATGTAAAAAAAAATAATGTAAAAAATGAGTAATGTGAAAAAGTAAAACTTATCCTCAGTGGATTTATCAATTGTTTAACTGATTTTATTTATCCTGACTTCTTAACTCTACTGCTTGTCTTGCTCAGCGGACTCTACATCCATTTCTGGGACCTAATTTTGATTATATCTCAGTCACAGACAGTAGTACTTTGTCTTTTCCCTTTTAAATTTAATTCCCTATAGAATTTTTTACTCTCTTGGTTTCAACTCTCCTGTCCCTGGCAATATACAAACTTTTACTTTTTGAATATTAGATCGGTATTTTCTCCTACCTAATGGATCTTTCTATTCTTAAGTTCGACCCTCACTCTCACATTCTAAAGCAAATAACTTCAACTTTTCCATACCTATAAATGTAAAAATCATTCTCGTCCCCCAAGTTGAACTCAGTGTTTATTTTTGACTACTTCTTCTTGGTTTTCACACAGAATAGTCCCAAGTTGTCTTTGTGATGTTTCTGCTTACCATACACTTCCCACTCTCTAATTCTACAGTACGGTGTTTATACATGCAGATGCCTTCTCATTGATTTCTCTGTCCTTAGTGCAATTTGGCCATTATTAGTTATATTTTCCTAAAATGTTATTATCTTTTTCTTAAGAAAAAATAAACTAAACTTAAAAAAGAAAAGACAAATTTTCTACATGAATTCAATTAATACTTCTAGATTAATCTATTTTTATCATTTCTTGCAGCCTTTTGGCTAAGATTAAATACAGATTAATCTACTTGTCATTTTATATAGGGGAACTGGACATATGAGAAAAATGAAAGTGAAAGTAAAATATTAGAATTGAAGATAAAATAAGATGTTTGAAAATCAAGGGAAAAGATTGCCAAAAATGGGTAGGAAGAATTGAGGAAAAAACAGAACATCTAAAAAAGAAAAAGTATATAATTTTAAAACAAAAATGAATTAAATTCAGATTAATCACAGCTAAAGAGAGAATTAAGAACTGGTAGATATGAAAAAAAGCACTCAGACTGCAGCACAGAGTGACAAGTAGATGATTATTTTTTTTTAAAGATTAAGAGAACTGTAGGCTAAATGAGAACATCAAGCATAAGTCAAAAAAGACCAAGGAGAAAATAGAAAGAATTGAGGAGAAGCTATATTTTTAAATCTAATGCCTGCAAAATATCAAGCATTGATGAAAGAAAGATATTAATCCACTGATACAGAAGGCATATTATATACTAAACCGTATATAATTGTTGGATATGAGTAAGATTATAGAAGCCTACCCAAATGAATAAAAAATAACAATAAATGTAAACAGAACAAACTTTATAGCTAAAAGATTGAAGTTGTCAAAAAGAATGAAGAAATAACCCACCTAGTTATTTGCTATTTATTAGAGACACACCTACAATAATAGAAAAGGGTTAGAAGTAAAAGAATATAAAAAAATATACCAGGCAAATGCTACCTAAAAGAAAGCTAGACTATAAGATAAAAAGAATTATTAGAGACAAAGAAACTCATTATATTTTATGAAAAGATTCAATGTACTAGGAATAGATAATTTCAAACTTGTATCTAAATAAAATAGTCTTAAACTTTATAAAGTAAAATCTGACAGAAGGACAGAAGTAACCTGAAAAAGTAAAAATTGACAGGAGGACAGAAGTAACTTGACAAATCCAAATCAAACTGGGATTTTCAAAATATATCTTTTAATTGACATGTCATATGTCAGTAAAAATAGGAAAAAGTTGAACAAAATAACAGACAAATTTAATTCAATGGACACATACAGAACCTACATATAACAGAAGAATACACATGTGTGTTCTCGAACACACAAATTGACCGCTTACTAGGCTGTACAGCAAACCTAAATAAATTTCAAAAAAACCCATTATTACACAAACCACATTCTCTGATTACAAGAGAAATTAGTAACAAAATAACCAAAATATCTCCATATGTTTACAAATTTTAAAATTCACTTGAAAATAACTCAAGAAACAAATAAAAAATTATAATTAAAATTGAAAATATTTAGAAATAGATAATAATGAAAACACTACATATAAAAATTTTGTAGCAAATATGGTCATATTGGGGGAGGTAGGTAAAAAAGACACAATGTTAATGTACTAATTTTCCAATTAAATGTGAGGAAAAAGTAGGGAAAAAAAGAAGACAGACTGAGGAAAATAAAAAAGGCAAGCAATTAATTAATAAAATACATAATCAAGATTTCAAATAGGCCAAGACCAGCAAAGTCAAAATTGTGTACTTGGAAAAAAAACAATAAAATAGACACATACCAGCAAAATTTATTAAAATTTAAAAAGTAAAAGTACAAATCATCAGAGTTAGGAATAAAAAAGGAGACAAAACTACAGATGGTACAAAGATTTAAAAGATATGAAGAAAAAGTTACAAAAAACTTTATGCCAAATGATTTGAACACTTAGGAGTAAGGGGATAATTCCTAGAAAAAAACATAATTTACTAAAACTGAATTTTAAAGAAATAGAAAGCCTGAGTAGCTCTGTAACTGTTAAAATTTAATCAGTACCTTAAAATCCTCCCACAGAAAAAAATAAGAAAATATACTATATTTGCTTTTATATGAATAAATAAATTCTAAAAGGATACACAAAAAACGAATCACAGTGGATATCCAAATGCCTCTGTTTTCTCCTGGTAAAATTTTCTGTGCTTCCTTTCAGTCCTAAAATTACTTAAAATTTTTGTGAAAGGTAATTTGTAGATTAATTCTCTTTTACAAGCAGCCCCAATCTTTATTATGTTACAGACTATTCACTATTTTAATACTCTTTATATATATGAGCGAACTTTGCTATGGTGGCAAAAAACCCAAAGTCTCAATAACTACAACAGCAGGCATTACATATAGGCCGCTGGTTGATTGTTCTTCTCTAGGCTACAAAACTGCTCCACATATCCTATCATTTTAGAACTGAGGCTGAAGAAGCCATTGTGTTTGGTACGTCATTTGTATGCTATTCAAAGGCCAAGCTGTTCAAACTTCTGGCTACGCTACTTCTGCTCATATTCCATTGTTTAAGCAAGTTATATGGCCAAGTCAAAAAGAATATACCATCAATGGCCATTTCAAAACTATGAATGTTATCTGTGGGAAAGAGGAATTACAAGTTTAGTCTCACAGAATAACTTGTGAGTAAAAGAATAATGACCTACATAACACAGGTGTGCTTACAAAAAAAAAATGTAGCTTCCATGAATACACTGCAGAGTTATTATAAACTACTTATTTGTAATCATTTGTGTCTATCCTATCTTTTCTTAATATAAATTTACATTTCACATAAATCTTACCTCTAATTATTTCAAACTCCATTTGTAAGCGATCTGGACATCAAATATCTTCTCTTTACTGGTACTAAGAGAAACTAATTATCAGCCAGCCTCTGTTTAAACAAGGTCATTCAAACTATTTAAATGAATAATACTACAACTAGGAAAGCACACATTCAAAAATATTACTAGTCATTCATCAAAAACATAAATATATTCTGCTATGGGTCTAAAAGGTAAATATGGTATTCATGCTTTCATTCACGCATTCATACTTTCTATGTTCATTCAAACATTGATTTGCCCAACAGCTACTAAATGCCTCTTATATGCCAGGCTCTTCTTGGTAAATAAAATACGGTGCCTGTTTTTAAAAAGACTTTAGTCTAAAATGGAATAACGAATTTTACATAGGGAAACTTAGTTATTTGGAACCCAAAATACAATTTTATAATTGTTAGCAATATTCAGGAGTAGATGACTTTGACTACAGTTGCCAAGAATTTAACCCCTGCCTGCATCCTGAAAACTATAGATTATATAATTAACTTTGACAGAGGTTAGTATACTTAAGATAACCAAAGCACATAAAAAAGCCACTTCAAAATATTAACAACTTGTCATGGTATAACAACATAACTGAATACATTTTCTATTTTAATTTTTTTCCTATCATTTCACTTTCTGTCAAATTAGGAAGTTGAATCAATCACTCTGTTTACAGAGTATTAACAGCTGTTGAATTAATCCCATTATTTGGTTTAATACTCATTCAGCTAAACCGCATCAAACAACTATGTTTTGGTTTCCTCTATAAATACAGTGATCCTTGAAACTGGGACTAATTACAAGTGGCAAACATAACTGGCTTATCAAAAACAGAAAAACAATAATGTAGAAAGGAGAACTTAATGAAGGTACAAATATATTGGTATAGATACACTCAAAGTTTAGAATAAAAGTAGATAATCAAAGTCAGGTAAATGCAAGTATGAGTTAAAGTACCAATATGACTCAAAACAATACTTGAAATTTTGTTTTCTTTAATTTAAAGTTAAACATGGGGGCAGGGGTGGTGGCTCATGCCTGAATCCCAGCATTTTGGGAGGCCAAGGTGGGAGTATCGCTTGAGGCCAGGAGTTCAAGACCAGTCTCGGCAACGTAGTAAAACCCTGTCACTACAAAAAATAAAATTAGCTGGACATGGTAGTGCACGCTTGTAGTCCTAGCTACTCAAGGAAGCTGAGGCAGAAGGATTGCTTGCTTGAACCCAGGAGTTTGAGGCTGCAGTGAGCTATGTTCAGGCCACTGCACTCCAGCCTGGGAGATAGACCAAGGTCCTTTTTGAAAAAAACTAAAAAATAAAACTAAACTTATAGAAAAAAGAGGTAAGTTTTACTCAGCAGCTCGGGCGGCGGGAGCGACGGCAGCGGCCAGACAGCCCAGCTCCGCGAAGGCTCCCGGCGCGCCGCGGCCCGCAGGCACCCGGCACGCGCCCTCCCCGCCGCCAAGATGCCCAAGAGGAAGGTCAGCTCGGCCCGAAGGCGCGGTGAAGGAGGAGCCCAAGAGGAGATCTGCGCGGCTGTCAGCGAAACCTGCTCCTGCGAAGGTGGAGGCGAAGCCCAAAAAGGCAGCAGCAAAGGATAAATCTTCAGACAAAAAAGTGCAACCAAAAGGGAAAAGGGGAGCAAAGGGAAAACAGGCCGAAGTGGCTAACCAAGAAACTAAAGAAGATTTACCTGCAGAGAATGGAGAAACTAAAACTGAGGAGAGTCCAGCCTCTGATGAAGCAGGAGAGAAAGAAGTCAAGTCTGATTAATATCATATACCATGTCTTATCAGTGGTCCCTGTCTCCCTTCTTGTACAATCCAGAGGAATATTTTTATCAACTATTTTGTAAATGCAAGTTTTTTAGTAGCTCTAGAAACATTTTTAAGAAGGAGGGAATCCCACCTCATCCCATTTTTTAAGTGTAAATGATTTTTTTTAAGAGGTGAAATCATTTGCTGGTTGTTTATTTTTTGGTACAACCAGAAAATAGTGTGGGATATTGAATTATGGGAGGCTTTGACTGTCTTGGGTGTCAGCTTAACATTCCATAGATGGGGGTTAGTTTTTATATCCTATAATATAAAGCATACTAAATGGCAATATGGAGTCCCAGGCCTGCATTTAATGTCTTGAACATTTTAAATTACTTCTATTCCCATGTTTTTTAGTAGACTTGTTTCCTAAAGAAAACCACTCCTTGATCATGGCTGTCTCTGTCAGAATTGCATATATTCTGTAACATCTTTGGTCGTGGTAGTCCTGTTTTTCTAATAACTTTGTTAATGTGCTGTGAAAGATTGAAAATTTGAGTATGTAGTATATATGATAATAAATTGTGAATTGGTGGGACTTATGTAACAGCTTATCAACATTTGAAGATACTGGTACTTGATACCCTCTTAAGGAAAATTTGTCTCCAAATTTTAAGCTGGAAAGTCACTGGAATAACTTTTAAAAAGAATGAAAACAAATGGCTTTTTAGATTTTCGGTACGTATGTTAAGAATTGTGTACAATTTGAAATGTCTGTACTGATCCTCAACCAATAAAATCTCAATTACAAAAAAAAAAAAAAAGAGGTAAGTTTTAAAAACAAGAAAACATAATCAAAATTCCAACCACAATTAAGTTAACAAAGACATTTTTATTATACTTCGCTTGCTTTAAGAAATCATTTATGAAAAAGGAGAAGTAATACAACAGGTTTACTTCCAAAGCTCAAAAACCATCATTTCAAAGTAAATTCAATTGCTACCTGTGTTCTCAACAGAAAGGTTCTCTTAAGTACAAACTGAGAAAGTGTTATTATTTTTAGTCACTTTTTATTCAATAAACATTCACAGTCATGAATATAATCATTATTCTACTACAACTCAATTTAAAAGTATAAAGTACTCATTCGCCAAAAGAGAGTCAGAACAGATTTAAAGGACTTCAAGGAATACTTACCTGCTAAGCACCAAAATGGCTTTTCAATTTACATACTACATCCAAGTTGGGTAGACAATATGCTTACTTTTTCTGCAAACCATTTAACCACTTATTTTACGTACTTGAAACTATCTGGGGATTCTGCTATACAACAAAGTACTTTGCTATTCAGCAATCCTGGTAACTTACTAAAGAGTTTACCTGAGAGAATTCCAAAGAGCATTGATCGGTCTATATTAAATAGATCCTTGCACAAAAAGTAGGAATTCAAAGCTTTCTTCCTAATAAGACTAATTAAGGATCACACAAAAATACTAAAGAAAAAAGTTGAGGAAATAAGGAACTGCCATTGTGAGGAATAGGATCAATGGGGAAAGAGAAAGTCAAAATAAATATGAAATTGAAAATAAATTTATTATTAACAGGGTTAGGACATGCTACCCCAAAATATGGCACCTAAGTATAATGAGTATTTTAAGCTGAAGAAAACTGAGAAAACCACAGAAACAGATCTATCTCTCTGACCTTCTCCCACGTCCCCTCTCCTAAAGCAGTCCATGAAAACTAGAAAGAATTCTTGTCACCCCTTCTCTCCTGAAGCAGGTCATAAAACTTAAATAACCTTCCCCTAAAAACAGGTTACAAGACACTTATTCCAGAGGGTTCCTCCTTATACCCAGAGTAAAGAAAAGTCTTTATCTCTGAAGACACAGAGATACAAAGAAGAATCTGAACAAACAGGCCTTCCTAAGTTCCCTGTAGCTTATTAGCATTACATCATTCCCTTTTGTCCAATCATGTTTCTCCACAACTATCTACTTCTTCATCAGACTTAGCATAAAATATACAATTCTCCCTGTGTCTTTGGGTCTTCATTTCTGAAAGCTACCATGTCACATAAAACTTATATATAGGCTGGCACAGTGTGCACACCTGTAATCCTAGCACTTTGAGAGGCCAAGGTGGGAGGACTGCTTGAGGCCAGGAGTTCAAGAACAGCCTGAGCAAAACCAAAACCTCATCTCCACAAAAAAATAGATAAATTTGCTGAGCATGGTGGTGCAAGCCTATAGTCCCAGCTACTTGGGAGGCTGAAGCAGGAGGACTGCTTGAGCCCAGGAGTTTGAGGTCGAAGTGAGCTACAATGATGCCACTGCACTCTATCCCAGGTGACAGAGTGAGAGCCTGTCTCAACAATAACAAAAAACGTATACATAGTTAAATTTGTATGTCTTTCTATTGTTAATCTGTCCTTTGTTATAGGGATTTCAGCCATGACGCTAGATGCATGAGAAAAGAAATCTTTTCTCCCTTACCCTGTGTGTGTGTGTGTGTGTATATATATATATATATATATATATATACACATATATATATATAGTTTATCATCATACTACTGAATGATAAATCAGAATAAACCAACAAACATTAATAGGATAACATTAAAATTAAATCATTAAATTGGAGAAGTTTTAAAAGAAAGTCAATAAAATGCAAAGCTAGTAATACACTTGACATAGAAAATATGAATAATTCTATTTGAATAATCAAGAGTTCATAAACAAAATTAGAAACTATTATATACTATGTACCCCAATAATTTCTGACTTTATAGGTAGTATTTTAAGAAAGTAGGTAATATAACAACTGTCACTTAACAATTAAGGTGCTACCAGTATATGTTCTATAAACTCACTAAAATTATATTTACTAATTTGTCTTAAATTTAATAGAATTTTGTCTACTTCAATATCTTCATTATCATTTTCAGCAGATAACTTGAACTATCATTATTATAATAGCTGATAATTTCAGGTATCATTATTGACATTAACTTTCTGCTTCTAAGTTAAGATAAAGTTAATTTAAATAATTTCATAAAATTATCTTTAGTAAAAACAAATGGAAAATTAAGAATTAACCACTTTTGAAAGTGCTGAGATATGAGGCTGAAAACAGAGATTGGTAAAAGGCCTGTACACAAAAGACGTGGTACCCCTACAAATCTAGAAAACTGCACTCCTCCCCACCCCTGACTCCAGTTTTATTCTCTGGAGAAATGAAATGTGAGAGGCTCAGTTTCAAGGACACCTAACCCAGTAGAAGGCAAATTTGTGAAGCCCAAAGCTGAAAACAGTAACATTAGGCCTACTTGGAACCCTCCCACTGCCCTGCTTTCAGAGCACTTGAAATCAGGCAAGACACTATTGGGTAATTTTCTGGAAAAACTAAATGGCCTCACAGACAAGACCTATAGAAGGATTAAGATGGCCAATTAGACACAGGTAGTATGTGCCTCCTCCATGAAGAAGAGCCAGAATAGTAAGCAGATTCTCACAATTCGAACATACCATCTAGGAGAGAATACTATGATTCACCAGGGAAGCAATAGGAAGCACCAAAAGTGGTAAGGAGAAGGTTCAGGACAATTTAGCCAGTTGGGGGTGGGGGATGGGGGTGTGGAGTGCGGGTGTGGGGCTAGCTGACAGCTGGGGGAAGCTCCTGGATGCAGTGAAACAGTAAAAGAGAAGCCCCCAGCACTCCACACTCTAAGATGAGCTTTTACAATCTTGGCTACAGGAGAACTCCCAGATCCACATAGGTCTCAGGCTTATCATAGGGAGCTGCTTGGAGACTACACAGAGACATTATTTTGGAAAGGGAACTCATGAGGAATCCCACAGGCATTAGAGCTTAGAGCAGCTTGTGGGCTGAGTTTGGGCTTCACGTGGCTGCAGCCCCTGGGTTGCTGGGGAGAGGCACAGAAACCAAGCTTTCCAACATGCATCTGAGATGGGTGCCCACCATCCTGCAGCTGGCTGCTGTGGGACCAAGCCTTGAGCAAACTACACTCTCCCACAATTTCTTGCTAGTGCAGCCTAACTAAGAAAGGCCTTGCCATCTCTGGTCACAGGCCCAAGGGGTCATTTTCGGAGTTTGAAGTTGGGCAGTCCCCATGCCACCCTTTGGTCTGAATTCAGGCTGATGAAGCTCTGCCCAGCTGAGGAGTGACAGGGAATCCCAACCTCTCTTACACACACATAGGACAATTCCCACTGCTATGGACTGCTATGAGACCAAGACACAAGAGCATGGCACTCTCCCCAGCATCTTGCCTACTCTATTTGCCCACCTTCTCTGGTCATAGGCCTAAGGCGCCATTTTGGGAGTTTAAAGTTAGGCAGTCTGGGAAGGGACATGGAGACAGGGACCTCCCCTCCTCTAACCATCCAATGCTGCAGACATAGCCATTTCTGTTCCACTGCATGAGTTTTGGTGCAGGTCAGCTGCAAGATGGCCACTTCTAGGCTCTCATGGGGGGTACACCTCCAATAGTACTCTAATTACTGTACCCAGGTACTGCATAGAGGGTGTGGCTTATTTTCCTCCCTTCGCAGACAGGCAGTGTTTTTGCAGCTGTCCCGACTGGGAAATCTCAGCCTCTGTGTCTCTATATCACTGGAACCACAGCCAACACTCCCTAGCACTCACTTGGACTGCAGCAGCCTTCGGGGACTGGTGGGTCTTGGTAGAACTATGGGTCTCCCAGAGCTTATGCATTCAGGGAGAGCTGCTTCCAGATGACAGGAGAGAGCAACACACAAGAGGATCCCTTAATTTTAGGTAGATAGCTAGGAATTCCGGGTCTCCTAGGGACAAAAGTGGGTGTCTTGCCTTGGTGCAATTGCTGCACCTGGGAAGAAGGAAAAGGGTGGGCCAAGGACTCTCTAGCCCATAGGCCAAGCAACACAGGTACCATAGAGTGCAGAAATTGACCTAGAACAATCTGCATGCGTAGTTAAGAGTCAAGTTATACAACTACCAACTGTCCAAAGAGGTTCTATGGTGATGTCTGAGCCACAGGGAGGTCCCATTCTGGGCATAAAATAAGACTGAGACCGTAACCAACCCCTTTTTGTGCTTCCTTTTCTCTCTCTTTGCTGCGACAAGGGTCCAGTCGTCATCTGTGTGATAGGTATCACATTCTGTAAGCCTATATCTTAGTTTTGTTCTATAATACTATCTTTCTCTCCTCAATAAACCTCATTTTTGTGCTTGCCTTACTGTGGTGTGTCTGGTCATTCTTCAGCCATGAGCACACCAAGAAATGACATTTTAGACTGAAACCTGACATTAGGACAAAGTGTACCAGGGCACCAACTTCTCATTGTTGGAGCTTTTCCTCCCTCCTCCCATCTTGCCAACTGCTTCTAAAGAAGCTGTCGTTGTTTCTGCTCAGGACCAGAAAGGATTCCAAACGGGATGATTAAGCCAGGGCACTTGAAAGCTGCTGCTCCACCTCTGACACAGCACCTCCCAGGATTTCACAGACCTTGGGGCTGTTTTCCCTCTAAAAAGCTGCAGTAAGCCCTTTGATGTGCCTCAAAGACAAAACATACCACCTCTTCTGAGGGATGGTAGAGTTAGCAGCCCTTTCCCAAAGCTGCAAATCTCTTCTGGGAGGAGACTACCCTTCTTGAAGACAAGTCCCTGACACAACCACACTTCTACCACTACAGCATTTTGGTCACCCACAGCCCATAGCCAGGCTGGCCCCCCACACAGCCATTGAGCTGTGTCTACCACCTCTGCTACAGCTGGGTCAGGGTGGGATCTGGGAATCTGGATGCTTTT